CCGCGGTAGTGGGCGTCGTGTGCGACGTCGCGCCCGCTAATGACGACGATTTTAGGTGGTATTGGTCGAGAATAGACAATGTATGACCAAAAATAGACATAAGTGTCTACCAATCCTTGTCTACATGAAATCCGATGCTCCAATCGAAAGGGTAGTGCAAATTAAGGAAACGTCGCGCCCGATGCCGCGTGCGACGAAGAGCATATCGCGATTCTGTTGCCCGTCTCCCCCATTTTCCACGAACTGGCGTTGCTTCCCTCCTCCTCCCCGCCCCCCTCCCCCCCCCTTTCAACAACTGATGTGAATCCGGCTGGCGCCTTGTCAAAACCAGCCCCCCCTGACACGCCCCAGCGTTCGTAGCGAATATGACTATACATTAAGGGGTGCATTACAACATGTTGGATGATGTGTCTCGACTCGTCGAAGATGTGTTCCCAGAGTTTACCGTTGCTGAACTGCGAGGGCTCCCTCTTTCCCCAAAGACCAATACTGAAGCCTTCATCTCTCACATGAAGTCGTCCTTCGTGGTCAAAGGTCGTTGCTCTTGGGTTCCCATCAAAACGCCCTACTTTGTTGGAATAGCGCCAGAGTCTTGTTTGTCTTTTCTCTCACTATTTGTGTGGATGCTGTCGTACGAATGGGTAAAACAACTCGTCTAGAAGCCTCATGTCGCACGAACATTTAATAACAGCTTGATTGACATTATTCAAAAGAGAAACTCAAAATGCATTGTTTTTGTCTCTTCAAATGGTCTGGAATAAAATTTTAGATCTTCGCTGTGTTCTCAGCTGAATGTCTCGCCGCTATTTGTGTAAAATCGCGTGAGCACTTAACATACGGGATATTGCGGACTGCGTCTTGTTGTTTACTCACAAGATTGGACGGCTAGTTATTTCTGTTGTTTTTCATTTTGATGGCATTAAATTTGATCTCGTCGTACGATAGCGACGGCAGTAGCAGTGTTTCTGATGGTGATGGACCTGTTCGTTCCTCAGAAGTCGAGACACCTCAGTCATCAGAGAAACCGGTATGTTGTGCTTTAGTGATTCCGCATTTAATAAAATTAGTTGGAAAAAAGGTTTTGTGCTGTTAGCATGCACATGAAAATGCTAACTTTCACGGATTTTCCTGAACATTATTTTTTTGCACATATGTTTTTACTTTTTTCGGATAATGGTAACGCAAGTTTGGCTGGCGCACACTGTCGTTTAGATCACTCGGAGACTGCTATGGGATATAGCACCAACGCGAATGCTTCAGTCTGAGCTGTCAAGCCCCCTTCATCTTTCTTTTGGATTAACTGCGACCAACCCTGCCTTGAATATCATCTTTGTTCAAAACACTGGAGGCGTATCTGACCTCAGAAAAGTTTTGATTGGATATTTTTTTCTCTTCCAAGCGTACTTTACCCGTCCTCCCCTCACAGCATTCACATCCACCATTACGTATACGCGTAAATGGTTCAAGCTATAAAACACGTTTAGGTTCTTGCGATGTCGTGAGGTTTTGCTCAGAGTTCGCGATGACGCGCGTCGACGCATGTCGTAGCGCGTATTCGCGCTACTTTGCAGTCACGCTCCGTTGCTAATGAGAGAAAAGCAGCGTAGACAGATGTCTATGTCTTGATAGAGTACAGGAGGATTAGGGGGAACCAGGCTGTGATCAGACGTTCAAAAGTGACAGCACCGCCGTTTTGCGACCCTACTACAGGCCACTATTTTAGCATGCCCTGCATTTTAGCATCCTGGCACCCGTTCATACTTTGCGTCAGCTTTTTGAGCACTGGATCCATATCTATACTTTGGTAGTGCTCAATATGCTGACGGGAAATATGAATGCAATCACGATTTGGCAGTATCAAACCGCTACCATCTCGAATAAGGACGACAGTGGTTAGCCTCTCATCAGCCCCTATCAGCTGTCATAAATTTCTGTCATCAATGCCTCCGTTCCACTTCATATGATACTTGCTGCCAACGCCCCACCGTTGCTGCGATGCGTTTTTTGTGAAAAAAAATACAATTAGTCTAGTTCGCTGCGGACGAAGGGGCTTGTCAGGCGGGATGAGCTCGGCATGATGTACTCGTTTCTACCGGTTGTTGTCGCACACACCCTTCAACAACTATAGAGAACGGTTAGGATCCCTGGCACACTTGCTGCCTGACATACCCCTTCGTACGCAGCGAACTAGAGTGAAGGCACTAAGTGGATTGCATATCACAGTTATTACAGTTATGTATTACACTCATTTTATAGGGTCATTTGATGTAGAGTTTCAGAAGAACTCGTCCTTCTTTTTTGGTGGTGACAGTAGCGATGATGACACAGCAGGGTCATCAAAGAATGCCGACGTTGCGAAGTTGACGCCTTCATCAGGTTCGGTTCCTAGGCTTTTTCTTTATTATTTACATGATACCAAGATCAGTTGATCTCTCTCTCTCTCCTCTCTCTCTATCTCTATCTCTCTCTCTCTCTCTCTCGGATCTGCCTTTCTTTCGTAAGAGTGACTAAGTGTATGGCTTCAGTGTAGGACCTCCTCACAGCATGGAACATTACTTGATGGTTTTTATATTTTTTAAATATTACCCTCACCTTAGAAACCCGCATCCCCTTTAGGCCTTGTTCATGCACAACACCGAGTTGGTGAATTAAAAAAATTGGGAGAATCCATAAAAAGGATTGTAAACGTGCCAGCATACCCATCTTACAGTGGTTCAGCACCTTTTTCGTAATTTCTAAATTCAGCGATCTCTCAAGGCGCGCGAAGGGCGCCCTGAGAGAAGGGGAAGCGGTTAGCGCCCTTATGACGCATTTTTGAGCTGCCAGCGGTAAATCATCTGTGCTGGTGGGACGGACTACCTTGCCCAAAGAAGGCTCTGTACCTTAGGTAGACCAGAGCCGTGATGATTGTAACATTTTATAGAAGTTTTATTATTGTTACAGCGAGCTCACCATTGTTGCAGTCACGTGATATTGTTTATTTATTTTTCTAAATGATCTTATTCAGGAGCAGTTCGTCGCCTTCCTAGTGCTGGAGCCGTACTGACAGGCAAGCACGTGGTGAGAGCCGTAATTTTTTGTTTCCATTATGACCCCTTTTGCTAGTAACGTATTGGGCGCTAGTCGGCCTGGAGGGGCATTTTGCTCTTTCGCGGCTGCTTTTGATGGTTAACTAGCAGGTCTGACTTTATCCAGGCCTGTAAACTCTTGTGAGCTGCAGAATGATACAAGTGAGCCCGCTTTGGTTACAGGAGTTTACAGGTCTTCACAAGGTGGCTTGTACAATTTTAGCCGGTGCCCACACCAAGCCGACTGTGTCGTGCATGGTTATATATGAGTCCATATTATAGCCATAGATTTTCCTTGTTAACATTTTTGTGTTGCTTGAGTGTTCCAGGGTTCCAGTGTGTTTTCAAGTGAGCGAGAACGAGAAGATCTCGCACACGCTCTAACGCTCAGTCAGCATGTACCATTGACAGAGAAAGTGGAAACGAAAAAGAAGCCTCTCTGTCGGTGAGGATGATTAGTTTTGTTTTGTAATGTTGGCCGTGTAAATAAGCTCATATCGAAAAGGCTGGATATGCAGGGTCTTATTTT